TCAGTGTATTCATTTAAGCAGCTCCCAGATTTGTTTACTGTTCTCCATTTCTGTGGAGACTACACGGCATTAGCAGCCACTCTGCCAGAGGTCCTGCTGCTTCAAAAGGAACAGAAGATTCAACCCATCCAGACCAGAAGGAGGCTCCTTCTTTCTTGGCTCCTACTCCTAGCCCAATTTTCTCCCTGAGAGGAGCTGAATTGACACTTTAAAAGGTATATTTGTATATTATCCAGTTCTCGAGGTTTCAGAAACAAATTAATATTTAAACTAATTTTCCACCCTTGTAATTTCTTAAACAGTTCCTGAATAAGTTTACGCGTCACTCAAAATTTCAGGAGACACCCAGTGCACTGCATTATTGTGCCCACTCTGCTGGCTCTCGGTGGCAAGCACACAACTGTGTCATTTTCTATGGTTTCCGATGGTGCAGAGGGACATTGAATGGAAGCTGGATGTCTCTTCCCTAATGCTGCCATGAGGACCTGCCTCTAGCAGCTCAGGGAGTGAAGGAGAGGCATGGAGTTGGTGAATTAGTCACTAAACTTGACTTTTCTATCTGACAGAGAAAAGCTTAATTCTCTGGGGCCAGCAAGGAGAGCTAAACTTAACTTTGTGCTGGTAAAAAAGGAAAACACACACACACACACACACACACTTAGGGTCTTTCTATCATCTTTTGTCTCTGTTCTTTTTATTTTTCCCTTAGAGCTTATATATCCCAACAAAATCTTTCAGGCAATACAAAATTCAATGTAGTTACACTTTATTTTTTCAAGTGAATAATTATAATGAATAAAAGTAAATATGTTTCCCATTTCCCTTACATAGTTGAACATCCTATGTACTATAGATGAAAAACAAATTATCTCAAGAAGTCACATGCATTCCTATCCAAGCAACCTGTTATAGATTAACAGTGTAAGCAAGCAAGGTATTTTTCTCAGCCAGGTGTTTTGCTGGCAGGCTGCATTTTGCAGTTACAAAGAAAGGACCAGTCACTTTATTATTTATCTCAAAGGGCAATCTTATAAGCAATCTTAACAGAATCACAAGCCTAAACTTTTGTACATACAAAAAACAGTCATTTTTTTTTTAAATCCTCAGAGTGCATATCCACTTGTCAACAGTTTTTTTTTTTATATCAGAAAGCTGAGGGCAGAAAGGACACAAGGAATGAATCATCATCTTTGATTGCAATCCTCTCCTAACAAGAAAGGCACGTCAGCCAGCAGTAGACAGTTTCCTATATGTTTCTGTGATGGAGGATGGTTATCTGTCTATTGTGTTATTTTCATTGGTCAATAAAGAAACTGCCGTGGCCCTTTGATAGGACAGAAAATTAGGTAGGTGGAGTAAACAGAACAGAATGCTGGGAAGAGGGCTATGAGCCAGAAGCCATGGAGCCAGCCACCAGGTCAGACATGCTGAATCTTTTCCGGTAAGCCACTACCTCGTGGTGCTACCACGAGATTATTAGAAATGGGTTAATATCAAGATATGAGAGTTAGTCAGTAACTAACTCTCTAGAGATAATGGGCCAGGCAGTGTTTAAATGAATATAACTTGTGTGTTATTATTTCTGGGGCTAAGCTAGCCATGCGGGAGCTGGGCAGGATGAAAAGCAGGCCTGCCCGCAGCCCCTCACTACATTTCTGCTTCCTGACCTCTATGAGTCCCTCGCTCAGCTATTAAACATATGCCTTTCTAAACTTTAAATAGATCCCCAAGATTGTCTGCCTCAAAGTCATTAACAAAAGCATCTTACCGTAACCTTAAGCCATATTTAAAGCTTTATTTCAGATATTACACACACCAAAACCTATGACGATATCTCCCAACATCAAGATTAAAAGAACTTGAGCTATCTGGGCTTCTGGGATTCAAGAGTTTTCCTTAATCATTAACCTAAGCCACAGTCTATACAACTCCTCAAGAGAAACTAGCCATATGACATTTTCTTGTTCTTTTCTATCCTCTGCAGCCCCTGCTTTATCAGGGGTGGGGAAAAACCATGCCTTGCTTTTACCTATATCAGTTTTGCCACTAAGCTAACCTCTATCACAATCCCTTACTATATTTATTAAAGATCCTCAATCATGAAAATCCTATTTAAACGAACACTATTACTCTATAAAATCATTGCTTCAGTTAAACAGTACAGCTTAGGAGGAAGTCATCTTCATAATAATCCACAGGTTAAAATGCCCAATAGGACAAGATATCTCCATGACATGATCACACTACATTAAAGTCAGTGGGGATTCCCCACACCCATTCACACCATGCAAGATTGCAGAGAAAAAAAAATGGCAGCGGCAAACATGTAAAGACAGCAGTAGCAAGAGACACTCTGGGGCCAAAGCCCTCGGAGGCCTTGCCTAACTGAGATTCACCTATCAGAGATTTGGTTCCTGGTGGTCTGACCTCCCAAACTTCAATTGCCACATGCTGCTCCTCTGACATGGCCATCGACATTTTCCCTTCTCTCACAGCCCTCAAATGGTTAAATTGATTATGCAGTGGGCATGCCCACCTGTGCAGAGCTGGAATGACTGAGGAGCAGCTCCTTCAGACTCATGACCCTGCCACTTATATTAACTACTCTGCTCAGAGCCGTCACCTCCTCATCTCTCTCTCATCCTGCACAAGACTCAACTCCAAACAGATCAAAACCCTCAAGAAAAGACCTGATGCTCTTAACCTAATAAGGGATAAAGTGAGAAATATGGTTCAACATACCAGCACAAGAAAGGACTTCCTGAGCAGGCCTTGCTGGTGTGGGCATTATGACCAACAATTGGCCAATAGAACCTCATGAAACTAAAAGGCTTTAGCACAGTGGAGGAAAAACATCCTTCTGATAAAGAGGCGGTATATAGAATGGGGGAAAAATCTTTGCCAATTATATAGCTGACAAAATCTATATATCTCAAAAACCTAAACACCAAGACAAAATCCAGTTTAAAATTGGGACTTGAAGCGAAACAGAGAGTACTCAAAAGGGCCATTGCATTTATGAACTCAGTGGTTGTGGCTGTGGCTGCTTATAAAAGGCCTGCACAAGACAAAGACAGTCCAGTCAAAATGCCACCGGCATAAATTGGGGAGGGCCTCCTGAACTTAGCTTTCTTCAGGGATAATTCAGGTCATGAGAAGACCATGCATGTTCTAGTAGTCCTCCATCCATATCCACACACATCAATGAGTAGTCCTCCAT